TCCGGGCTCACTGCTTACTGCTTGTTGGGAGGCCAGCATCGCTCTGTCACAACAAAACACACAACTCGGAGGAGAACACATCTTCATCTCAGGGCAGAGGGTTAACTCACCAGGTGCCCACGGTTATCTCAGTGTGAAAGGCAGGAGCCAAAATGACAGGATCTTATTAGTAAACATGTGCTGTGAGTTACAGTGGTGCTTTTCCTGCCTAAGCTTTTAATTCGATTTTCTGGGCAACTAGCCTCGTGATAAATGAGTGTTGCTCCCCCTCAACCCCATTATGAAATGAAGTTTCAAAATGAAAATACAGGGCCAGGGAGGTGACAAGACTTCTGAGGCTTATGCTGATTAAGTGGAATATCTCACCTCAAACCCAGGGCTTGCAGTTCCCTGTCCAGGGCTGTCTACCATGCCAGGGGTCCCTCACACCCGGTTTTCAGGTCGCCTACATCAGAATCATGAAGGAAATGCAGGTTCTTGGGCTCCACCCCAGACCTACAAGATCAGGATCTCTAGGGTGGAGGCAGGGTGTCTGCATGTTTTTTTTGAGCACTTCCACACACCCAAGTTTGAGGACTCCAGCCCTTTGCCAACGATGAAATGCAGGCTTTGGTCTGGGGTTCCAGCCAAGCTTTCCAAAGGACACTGCTTGGCGGAGCCTGGAGCCAGCCGTCTTTGAAGAGCAGGGAGGGAGCTGCCTCTCTTGAGAGAGGCTGGCACGTGGGGACTTGCCTGACGGGTTTTGTTGGCACGCCACGCAGAGAAAAACAGAGTGCTCGGTCTGCTGCTAGTCACATGGTCAGCACCTTTAGCAAACAGTGAGACTCACCCTTGATATTTCTGAGGTGACCCATTGACCAGAGTTCCGAAATATCTCTGAGCCTTCTCCAAGAGCTGAAGTCTGCAGATGTGGGATTTCCTGGGCCCCCACCGAAAGAATTAGCGTTCACACCCACTTGTGGGTAAACTACATTTTTAAAGAAGAGAGATGGGATGGCCTCCTTTCATAGGAACCACTCCTAGACTCTAAGGCAGCGGTTCTCAACCTGTGGGTCGCGACCCCTTTGGGGGTCGAATGACCCTTTCACAGGGGTCGCCTAAGACCATCGGAAAACACATATATAATTACATATTGTTTTTGTGATTCATCACTATGCTTTAATCATGTTCAATTTGTAACAATGAAAATACATCCTGCATATCAGATATTTACATTATGATTCATAACAGTAGCAAAATTACAGTTATGAAGTACCCACGAAAATAATTTTATGGTTGGGGGTCACCACAACATGAGGAACTGTATTAAAGGGTCATGGCATTAGGAAGGTTGAGAACCACTGCTTTAAGGCACTTATGCCTTTGGAACTATATTAAATACGAAAATTAATTCTTTTACCTCTAGCACTAATAGAGCTTCAGAATCAGCAGGCCTGTCATGCAACTGAATATTCATATTATAGGAGACGAAACTTAGGCTTAAAAGTTTAAGTGTCGCCATAACGGGTTTGGCTCAGTGGATAGAGCGTTGGCCTGCGGACTGAAAGGTCCCAGGTTCGATTCTGGTCAAGGGCATGTACTTTGGTTGCGGGCACATCCCCAGTGGGGGGTGTGCAGGAGGCAGCTGATCGATGTTTCTCTCTCATCGATGTTTCTAACTCTCTATTCCTCTCCCTTCCTCTCTGAAAAATCAATAAAATATATTTTTTTAAAAAAGTTTAAGTGTCATTGCCTTTAGGTGGGGAAAACAGGGATCAGAACTCAATCAGACACTCCAAGTCTTCCTGCCACACCCAAGTTCCCCCAAGGAATCTCATTCTGCCAGATGACAAACCCCTTGTAAGCCTTCACTCCTTAAACCAGAATCTCCTGCTCCTGGGTCAATATTAATTTGTCCAAACCCACATCTGGAACTCTCTTCCATGCATATAATTGGATGTGTAGAAGAAAGCTTTATGCAGAACGATTTTTTATAATGCAATTTATAATAGGAAATGTTAAATGCTAACAGTGCTAAAACACTTCAGTCACTTTAAATATTAAACACCTGTTTATTAAAAGTGATAAAAATTTACTCAGTTTTATATATGATGATTTCTCGAACATATAAAACAGCTGTATAAAAACATTAAGCATGGAAACAAAGGTTGGGGAGTTAGCAGTGGATGTCTCTGGATTGTGGATCATGTATTCATTTATTGTTTTTAGCAAGTATTTGTGGAACATCTGTGTCAGACAGTGTACTAGGCTCTGTAGATATAATGGTGAACAAGATTCTGAAACAGAGCTAGGATGATACTCTTCTAGAAAAAAGGTCTTAAGATGTTATCATTGTATATCCCTTCAGTAACAAAATACATAAATGAAATAAAAATAAGCATTCCCCCAAATATATGATTATTTATTTATAAATATATGCATGTACTAGCCCACTAATAAATATATTAGGTATATTGTACATTGTCCAAAATTGAAATTTAAGAAGAATGAAGTTAAATATATATAAAAGGTTCTCTATTTTCTACCCTGAGCCCCCGGATCCTCCTGTGCACCCTGTGTGGTTCATTTGAACATCACTTCTCTAGTCTAAAGGATAATAAGGATAATGAGGCTATGATCAGAAAACAAGAAAAGAAGCTATTTTAGGGAGTCATTGTTTATTTCATATGACAGCCCTTAAAGGTGTTCAAAAGGCTAATGCAAACACTAATGGTTGAAATAGAATTGGACATTAAAATAGACCTGATATTAAAATGGAATTAGAACAACAAAACCTGTCTTTATTACCTCAGTGGCACGTGTGTAATTGAAACCATGCCACTGCATGAGGAAACTTCATGGGCTCCCTGGGCCCTAAAATCCTTCTTAACTAAGCCATCACAGCAAGAGGGAGGGAGAAGGAATTGTGCAGATGCAAGATAAACAGGGGCTTCCCCAGGCCTGGGGGCCTGAGGGTGTGCAGTGGCTCAGCGGGGCGTTGGGATTCTGAGGAGGGGCTTGGGGCTGGAATGGTGAGCTGAGGTACCCAGAAACCTTGGGCGTGCACTATAGCATTTCCCCACTTGCTGTGAGACCTGACTGGATGCCAATTTCTGCACTGAAGAGGGCAGCAGAGAGCAATAAATGGGCTCCAGAGTCCTCTTAGGATCCTCTCAGCCCCACTGACCATTGACTACCATCCTCACTAGCTCAGGAGTGGCATGGACAGAAGAACTGGAAAGGACAGGAGAGACCCCTGTCTGTCCCATGCTATTTGGGGGTGACTGGCCAGACATTTTATTTTTTTAAAGAGTGAAAATTTATATATATATGATCCAAATTTTGGTTTTCATTGTGATGATAGCCTATAACACTCAGTCTTAGAACATTCTGAATCATCTGGATGACCATAATTGAGTAGTGGTATATGTATCATCAGAATCCTCATGTTTATCCTTTGATGCGTGTTTATGAGATTCAGGTGACTTCATGGTGTACTCTATCACTGAGAGATTTTGCTGGAGGTTGAACACGGGAATGTGGTGGGAGAACTGAGTCATCTCAGGGCACACAAAATACAGGCATGTCAGACTGAAAAGGAACTTGCCCCATAACCATGTACACATTTCCAGTAGATGTGCACTACGTACGGTCGCAGTCATCAAAAATATCAACTTTCAACCATTCCATTCACAATAATTTTAGTAGTAAGTATGCGTTGAGGAATGGCTCTATTCTGAGTGAACAATAATTAGATTAGTTGCCCGCTGAATGTAGATTAGTATCTTCAAATACAAGAGAGATACTAGTTATCAAGTGACACCTGCTTTGCTCACGTACAGCGTATTGGTTAAGTGAAAGGCTTGCTTCTCCTGAGCTACAAACCAAGGCTGGAATGTACTGACACTCCTGTTTCATATGCAAACAGACGTTCTCAGGAGATATATTTACAAACTTACAATGTAGAAACAGACTAAATATATGACCAGACCTGAGCTAACGTTGTCTACCATTAACCTCAAATTGGCCATTTAGTTTCTGAAAGATAATACCATCCACTTATCCACTACGTTAAATTAATATCATAAATTTGAACTTTATTATCTTTATGGTATTTGATTGTAATTTTGTTCTGCATTTATACTGTAATCTAAAACGTACAGTCTATCCATTGTTTTTATGCTTTACAAATTGAAATAACGTTATAATAAAAGTTAAAGTGATAGTAACATGGTGATGAGGCCTACAGCAATTTTCAGAGAATGTGAAGGGGTTCATGAAGTATTTGGGTTGGAGGAGCCTACCCCAGAGGACACTGTCCTCTCTCCTCCTGGCAACCTCACTGCATCCACTTCCCGATCCAGGATAGCTCACCTCTGAGAGCTGTTCTACATTCCTTTCCTCCTCCTCCTTCTTCAGCATAGGCCCCAACACTTCTCTTTCCATAACTCCACACTGAGCTGCTGTGCCCCTCAGCGGACTCTCCTTGGGACAAGTTTTGAGATGTTAATCTGGTCCAATAGCCTTCTTTTACACTTGGAGAAACTGGGGCCTAGATGTGTGGCCTTGCTGTGTTGATGCCTTGGGGTCATTGACTCCCCTTTGCCAGCTTCTGACTAAAGGCCACTGGTCAAGGCGGTGAAAGGAGAGAAGGCTCTTGGCTTTCATGTGGGGAAGCTTCGTTCCTCAGCCTGCTGCCTGTGGTGAGAGAGCTGTTCCCAGAAATGCACCATTGATTTGAATACTCAAGGGGCTAGAAAAATTAAGAGCTAATCCAAACCTTCAGAATTGTTGGCTCCAACTCTAGCAAAGAAGGATAAACAAAATCATTCTGAACTGGAAAATGATTCAGGATTAGTTTTCTTTGCTTTTCCAGCTCATCAAAAATAAGCTTTCAACACCAGAATGCTTTATTAAAATTTTTCTCATTGTTTTGTTAACCAAGCTTATCACCAGCATAGCATCATTATATGTTATATCTGTGTTGCTAATTGACTTCTTTCAAACCAGGTTGACATTTTAGTTGCTTTTGAACCACCTTCTTTTTTCTTTTCATGAAATAGGTCAAGTATTATTAGCGTCTTTGAAGATTGGCTGCCTTTTAAGGGACATTTTTATCATACTGACTTATGTGCTCATAAAATATGCAGTGAGGACAGATGGGCAGAAGGCTGGAGTGGAGAAGAAGGAAATAATTATCTGCCTAGTGCAAAGCGTGTACTTGCAATATTCCATGTATGCCGCAAACTATAAAAGGTCACAAAATAATGGTGTGAGCCATTTCAGTTAACACAGTTGTTTTGTGTCTGCTCTCAGCCTAGCACAGTGATGCTATCAGGTAGGAATGCTGGGGAGCATCCAAGTGGGGTGGTACTGCTTGTGGAGCCCCCCACAGATATTTCCCCAATCAACGTGCTGTCTGGATCTACTCTTGCAGTTCTTATGATTGCAATAACCACCAGGGAACTTTGATAAAACAAGGTTTGTTACCCACAAGTAAACAAATCCAGGCCATGAGGAGAGTGAGGGAGAGAGAGAGAGAGAGTGAGAGAGAGCGAGTGAGCCCTGGGAGTCTCTGGGGACCTAGGGCTCTGTCTTTATTGAGGTTGAGGTTGGGGTGTCTAGGGTTTTATGGGTTCACTACCGGCAAATTCTAAATCTAAGATTAAAATATAACCTAGGTTCTAATATTATTATCTGATCCCCATTTAAAATAAACTCTTGTATTGTATCTTGCTTCCAGCAAGCCATTATGTATTTCATTAAATCTCAAGTGCTTTTGAGGTTGAGGATTTTTTATTCTAACCCTAGGTGTCACTGGGAGATTTCACATTACTTCATCATGACTGTCCCCTGGTGGGCAGTTATAGTATGGCATATCAGCAGCAGCTTGCTTACAGAGATGCATGCTGATTTAAGAGAGGTTAAGATGGGTAAATAAAGAGTGCACTTTAGAATTGTTGGAACAGGGTACTTTTGCATAAAAGAAAAATTAAGGACGAATCCTTCATTTTGCATACATTTTCCATAGTAGGCCCTTACTGCCTCTGGTTCTTTAAAACATAACCTGGTTTGCTAAATCCTGGCTGACACACCATGTTGATGGAATATCGCTGCTCCACAAAGTGGGTGGCATTTGTGCAGGCAAGCTGTGCTTGTGCCTGCCTGTCACCTGCGGAGAGAAAATTGCTCTAATGCTGTACATCACCCTCATAATCTTTCTTTTTCTCTTTCTCTTCCCTTTTGCAAAATGTAGATAACAGAAAATTACTTACAGTCTGCATCTTCTCTTTTAAATACAAAAATTAATAGCAGGCCTCATCAGATAGGTTTAATGGTTTGTGTTCCTCGGTATTTCAGCCTGGAAAATGCCGAGGTTTAGTCCTCTGTTTGGTCCTGTTTTAAGCATGTTCAGAACACAAGCGTGGGAGGTCTGGCTCCTTCACTGTTTACTGGCTGAACAAGTCTCATGCCTCCTTGGATCTTGGTTTCCTTGGTTCTCAAGTGGAAGGGACTTGGTTGTCAACTCCAAGGGACTCCTGGGTGAACCAAAGGAGGTAACTATTTGGGTACCTATTAAAAGCTTTATACCAATGTCTGATGAGAATCACTGATAAAAATACTTGGAGGGTGTTTTGACAAGTGCTACAGTAGTGGAAACAAATATTTTCAGTTTTTTTTTAAATTTTAAAATAATTGGGAACAAAATCAAATAATTGGATCTAAGTCTGTGTAGTACAAAGAGTATAGCCTATTTTTAGGGTTCAAAAGTGATGAAAAATTGCTATCATATGGGATTGCCATTAAGCCACTGGTGATGATGCTAAAGTCCCGTTCAGTGAGTAGACACAAGTTTGGTGCACAGGTTGCTGGGAAGTCAACCCCAATAGCAGCCTCAACTTTCTCCAAGCAGCACATTTACTTGGCAAATGGGTGGGGACCTTCTGAGCTGGAGCATGACCCCCTCTCAGACCTTTTGCAGCCAAACCCTTAGGACCCAGATTGTCTCCAAATGGGGGCTTCTTGAGATTGAGGGGCAGCCTATATGTTGGGGACTCCTTGGGGAGTGGGCCCGTCTCCCCAGAGCTAGTGAAATCAGAGGCTTTCCTGAACTCTTCTGTGGGTTGATCACCTGGGAATCCCTCTCTCCTTGTCCTCTCAAAGGACATGATATGAAATAATCCCTGCCAGGGATGATAAGTCTGTGTGACCCTGGACCTCGAGGTCCTGTGGCTTGTGGGAAAGTCACCATCATGGAAAGTCATCTTCAGCAGGAATGAAGATTACTGCTGGCTCCTATTACTATGTGAGTGGTTTAGTCTATTTATAACTTACAAGGCAACATTTTAAAATAGTTCAACTATATATTTACTTTAATTGGAGACAATTTTTATGTATATCAATAATTTTATTTAAATGTTTTATAATGAAACCATTTTATATATATGTATATATGTGTGTTATATGTATATATCAATATAAGTGTATTGACATTTATGAAAAGTTGATTATTGAAAATGATTGTCAGTGAATGTAACAGGGCAATTCTTGTGTACAGTCTTTGGTCTCTGGAAACTTTGAAGGTCTAAGGATGACATAGGCAGCCATGTTTACCCCGACCAGCTCGGTCACTTGGAATTTACCTCCGCCTGCTCTCACCTAAAGCTGCCCAGGAGTCCGAGTCTGGGAAACCCTCTTGGTACTTTAGGTGCCTTGAAGCCATCAGCTGACCACAGGGAAGGTATTATTGGGTGGCTCCTGGGACAGGACTGCTCCTTTTTATTTACAAATTTTTTCATTTTTATCTTTTTCAAAAAAAGTAGAAATGTCACCTTTTTATGATCCAGACCTGAAGGCATTTTCTTCCCACCAGAAAGAGGAGAGACTTGGGTCACCTACAAGAGAAGGAGCAGCCTTGACTACACGGGCTTGCTGTGAGTTACAGAGAATCCGGGCAGAAGTGAGACCTCTCTGAGGGAGGGCTGAGCTGAGCTCTCTCATGTTGTCTCACCCTTAGGAAGTGCTCAGTGAATGCTGGTGGGAGAGAGTCAGGGAGGGGACAAGGAGATTGGCAGGTTCAGGCCTTTAGGAAGCAGGTGTCAGGCTCAACAGGAGTAATTTGGTCCAGCTATAAACAATCCAGAAGGATCTTTTTAGAAAGAGGACAATTTATTTCTCCAAGTAACTAATTTGTCACTATGCAGGGGGTTCTAACGGAGGGTCGCAGGTTCGGTCCTGGTCAGAGGCGTGTGCCTTGGTTGCGGGCACATCCCCGGTGGAAGATGTGCAGGAGGCAGCGTTCAGGCCTTTAGGAAGCAGGTGTCAGGCTCAACAGGAGTAATTTGGTCCAGCTATAAACAATCCAGAAGGATCTTTTTAGAAAGAGGACAATTTATTTCTCCAAGTAACTAATTTGTCACTATGCAGGGGGTTCTAACGTAGGCACAAAGTGGTGTGCTGGCCAGACAAGTAAGACTCGTCTATTTGTAGGAGCTGAGTTGTGTGGGTTGAAGGCTCTTTGCAGGGAAGGTTTGTGGAGAAGGTTGAGGCCGTGAGGGGTGGAGAGAGTGTGTGGTAAATGTCTCTGATGCTGGCAGCCGGGCTGGTCCTCTGGAATCATACTGAGCCCTGGAGAGAGCAGGGAGGGGAAGAACGATAAAGGGAGGGGAGGAGAGGAAGGAGAAGGGAAGCAGGACCTGTTTTCATGGACTCCTTGTGCTCAAGTGGCAAAGTGGCAGAGTCTGGAAGAGGGCTGTCCTCCTTCTTTCTTTGTAACTACCAAAATTCTTAACTTCAGAGACCAACTCTGCTAAACAGAAAAGGAATGGACTGAAAAGCCAGCCTGTGGTTCAGGAATACCAGGAGCCTTGAGAAGCAGGCTGGACGAAGGCCAGGAACGAGGAAGGCCAGGCAGCTGCGGGGCCACAGCCCCGATCTTGCCAGTGAGATGTGGCCATCACATGTGGTACAGCATCTACTGCTCCCGGAAACTGAATATTGCTGTGGTTGCCGCTGTCACTGCTGTGGACTCAACCGTTCTCACTGCTGTGGGTCAGTAGCTGCCAATTCAAAAAGCTGGGCTGGGAGCATCTGATCGGTTAAACCTCCATCACACACTTGCACTTTAATTGCAAAGGAGGCTGGAAGGGGGCTGGGTAAAGGTGAAGCTAGGAAATAAAGCACTTGGATATCCTCTTTGATGGGCAAATACATTAACTTGCTTGTTAATAAGTAGATTTTATTTTATTTTATTTTATTTTATTTTATAGCTGAAAACACCCTAACAGGCATAAGAGTATACATTACTTTTATATTTAGAAAAGTGATAATTTTTTTAAATGCCAAATTATTAGGGATTCTGACCTTGGCTTCCTGAAGCCACAAAAATAATTTTCTTCCTCAAATCCATTCCTTTGATATTTACTTTTGTTATCTATTCATTGACATTCACTTGGTTATCTATTGCCTCATATTACTTGTGGTTACGTAACTTGTACTGTCTTCTCTCCCTGACAAGACCATGTGGCACAGTGGCCATGACTCCAGCATTTGCACAAACCTTGACATTTGCGCTAGGCTTCCTCCTAAGCCCACAGTGGTTGATACATTTAATTTCTTCCCAAGCAGGAGGCTGTGCAAACTGACCAAGTACACAAGGCTCTCTTGGGAGGGCCCTCTAACGTCTCATCAAATAGGCAAGGCAACATCATCTTCTAAAGAAAAGTCTGCAATGTCTAAGAGACTGGTTTACTCTTGGGAAAGGCAGTGAGGGCGAACCCTGGCAGTTGGGTGAGTGGGCTCTTCCTTCAAATTGGACAGCCTGAAGCGCTGAGGAACCTGAGACAGGGACACAAACAATTGACCTTGTTCTGGTTGACAGTGTCCTTGGTAGCAGGGCAAACACCAGGATAGCCAAGTAAGAGGAGAGAGGGAAGTTTCCCTAACAGACATGCATTAGGAGGGTGGGTTACCTGGCTCTGTGGGTGAACTCTGGGAGCTGGCATGAGTTCTGCCCAGTCAACACCTGGCCCCCAAAGGAAATCCTAGAGCAAAGGAATAACAAGAAACCTCTTTGGCATTGCTCTGATTGGCTTATAGAACAATAGTTTATATGACTCAAATGTTCCCACAAACCCCAGAAAATAAAGAAACTGAACCTCTAATATTTTGAGTGTGCTAGACATTTAAGAAAAAAAACTATTCTTATTGAACTTGTTAGCTCAGAAACATTTTAAGAATCAAAGTTTACATAATGAAGGTGAGTCCTTGAACAAATTATCTTGGTTTAATAATTTTGATTTCAAGAAATAATATTTATATGTCTTTACCTTGAGTTTATCAATATGGAGTATGATACAAGCATATATTTAACTTTAAAAAATAAGGTTTGGGTTTGAATCTTAGGAAAAGACTAGTTAATCTGAATTTCCTAACCTTTTTATATTAGTTTACTGATCAAATAAGATAAAATACCACTAACTAATGTTTAAGATTATAAAAGTATAAACTTGTATCCGACCAAATTGAGTCATAAATTTGACAAACTTATATCACCAGTAATTGTGTTAGCTTAAACATAATTTCCAAGATCCTTAAGCAACTTAAATTTTGGATTAATAAATTGTTATTAATGTATAATTATTGGATACCTTTAAGTAATTTCCAAGTAATATGGAATATTGAAACATTGGTTATTAAGCATTTTTAGGTTTATATACTTTTGCTTCTTATTTTTATTCGCTACAGATTGGCTATATCTTTGGGACATTAATAAATGTGTTCATTTTTACCACTTTAAGAAAGTATAAAAGGCATGCATGTAGCTGTAGAAAGTTGTATATTCATGAACTTTCCTACCCTGCTAAAATGCTTGTATATGACAGATAATTCTCAATTATCTACTAATTTGGTTAAAAGTTGTAATTAACACAGCTGATTAAAACTGTACTAGAATCAGTAATGGCAGAGAAATGCAACTGTGGATGTTCTTTTTCAAGAAAAAAGGCAATAGTTTTTACCTAAATTAGTGCCAATTTGTTCCAGAATATGAAAGAGTAAAGGAAAGATAAAACTTGGGTGTAGATAACAAATTGAAGAGGACATGAAGGAAGAGAACTTTATTTCTCTTGGCTTATCACACCTCAGTCTGAAAGAGCTATATAAATATTTTATATACAATTTTTATATACAAGATGATTTAAGGGAAAATAAAGACCACAAAATCTTTACTAACAAATTTTACAATAATGCAAAGCTGCAATTTTTGTTTTCTTGCTGTTAAATGATAAATTGGCCTTAGGCAGTGGTTCTCAACCTTCTGGCCCTTTAAATACAATTCCTCATGTTGTGACCCAACCATAAAATTATTTTCATTGCTACTTCATAACTGTAATGTTGCTACTGTTATGAATCATAATGTAAATATCTGATATGCAGGATAGTCTTAGGCGACCCCTGTGAAAAGGTCGTTCGACCTCCAAAGGGGTCTTGACCCACAGGTTGAGAACCCCTGCCTTAGAGCATTTAACTAGTGGCAGTAAAGGTTATTCTTTACCATTCGCATAATCTGCATAGATAGTAGAAATTCCAGGTCTCACCAGAATAACTTCTCTGCATTGTGTGAGTTTATCTCTTTCTGGAGTAATAATTTTGGTTTTAAAAAATAATATTTATATGTCTTTACCTTGAATGTGGGATAAAACATTTCAGTTAACGTGGGACCACATATACAATGGTGGTCCTATAAGATTATAATGGAGCTGAAAAATTCCTACTGCCCAGTGACCTCACAGCACAGCCGTGGTAATGTCAGGACATCGCAGTGCAAAGCATTCCTCACCTGTTGTGGTCATGCTGGTGTAAATAAACCTGTCGCACCGCCAGTCATATAAAATATAGTTTATACAATTATGTACCACTTGATAATAATAAACAACTATGTTACTGGTTTACGTATTTATTATACTACTAGAGGCCTGGTGCACGAATTTGTGCACGGTGGGGGTCCGTTGGCCTGGTCGGTGATCGAGGCCTATTGGGGGCTGGCCGGCCAGGGGAAGGGACCCCGGGAGTTGGCTGGATGGTTGTGGGGGAGGGGGGCGGCCGGCTGGGGGGAGGGGGCGGGGGAGGTTGGCTGTGGGAGTGCACTGACCACCAGGGGGCAGCTCCTGCGTTGAGCACCTGCCCCCCGGTGGTCAGTGTGCATCATAGTGACTGGTTGACTGGTCATTCCTGTAGTTCCAGTTGTTTGGTCATAATGGTCATACAGATCCCCTTTCTCTCTCTTGGTAAGCTATCTCTAACTTTCAATTTAATAGGCTATGCATCAGTAAACTAAAATGAAATTTTTAAAAATGGTGTCTGATTCTTTCTGATGGCCTCAGAATTCAGTGACTCTCCTCACTTTTCATGACAAAATACTTATTAGCATAGATTCAATAAGAATCTGTCCTTTTTACCAAGATATAATTAGACAAATAGATTGTTCACAGAAAGCCATACTCAAAGGGCTATATTTGAGAACAATGCTCTTAGTCAGGTATAAGAAGTCCATACTAAGGAACAAAGGGTTCACTTTATCTGTGAAGTTAGTGCCAACAAAACCCTCCCCCCAAGACTGGCCTGGTGCCAGCCTCTAGGTCCTGATCTGACTGGTGGTGAGGAAGGTCACTTCCTGGAAAGCCAAGGATTTTAGCAAATTTTGCAGACCTCAGGAAGGGAGGAATTTACCCCAATTCAGTGATACTGTAGGTGAAATCTGGTGGAAAGATTTCTTGGGCTTAGTCCCCTGGCCTTGGAATAGGGGAGCAAATAATGGAGGCTGTTAAAAGTCTGAGACCCCTTATGAAAGTTTCTGAAGAGAGGGGAATTATTTAGCCTAATTAATTTCTCAGTAATCTAAGGCTCTAGTTTTGCAGAGAAAACTTGAGGCCTACCTATATGATTAAAATGCTGTGTGTGTGTGTAAATAATCAAACCTAACAAGATCAGCCTTTTTGTGATCAAGAGGAAATATTCTAAATATCCTTCTAGAAATGACAATCAATAAATCTTTGTTGACTGACTTATACTCAATTTATTTTAATTATATTGTTTGACCTAATGGAGTGCCCTGGAAGGACAGACGGGTTAGACTAAAAATCCTAAAGGAATCCCTTAATAACCTTATGTAATAAAAAAAAAACTAGCATGCAAACTAACAGAAAACGTACTTTATTTACTTATAACATCTTGTAAACAATCACACTGTGCACTTTTAATTCAATAATAACATTTTTCCCCCCATGGATTTATAGCAAACCCTATATAAAGTCAATGAGTTAATACAAGAGTACAGATGAATAGGGTAGAATAATTTCTGAAAATGTTAAATTACAGCACTTGATACAAAGACAGATAACTATCTGTACCATAAAAATTTACATGCCACAAAACATTAATTTATAATTTTAAATATGCCATAAAACACATTTATAAAAGAGCATCAACATTAATTTTATTATAAACCAGTGAATTACTCAGAAGAATATTTATTAAAACTTAGTAGAAATCAGTAAATATTGCAACTGAGGTAAAAACTTATAAGTAAACAAAACTATCATTTATAAGAGCCAAAAAGTAAATGGAAGGGCAGACAATACTTTCTGACGACTCTGCCTACTCCTTGATATTTTGAAGCAGCTTCAGTAGATGTGACTCAATAACCTGTTGAACTAGAACAAATAGGTGATCAAGACCACAGCATTTCTTTTCTACAAAAGAAAAAGGTGATTTCATTTTCTAAGGTGAGCAAGATTTGAAGAATTTAATGCTGCTGTGAGAAGTTTTACAAAGAATTGGGCATGTAAATGTAGTTTAAGGTAATTTTAATATTTTGTGAAGAATACTTAAATCAGAATTAGTAACAGAGTTTATGTTATTGACTTTTTCTTCCAGGTGTTTAATTAAGTTAGTGAATTATTCTTCCAATTTTTTAAAAGAATTATCAAATTCAACTTAACATCCCCAACTTTCTCCTAAAATAAAGTTATTTCTAAGTAGATACTTAAATACACTTAACATTTAGTTTCACTGACTTAGTAATTGCCCAAGTCACTGAATTTTCAGTTCTTGGTTGTTAAATTTTGAAACTGAAGGAGAATTCAGAATACAAGGTTGTTCTAAGGAACAGAAAAAGGCAACTATAAGAGCAGTGTATAGTTTGTTATAAAAATGTGAAACACATCTTGTAAATAGGTGTGTACTTATCTTCCAGCAGCTAATTATTTGGGTTGGTAAAAAGTAATAGTAACAAATTCATTTCTAGACTGTAGGAATTTTATTTCGCCCACAGTTAAAAGTACATGCCAGCAGTTATTGTAACATGCAATGTTCTACGACTACAGCGATGAAAATGGTTTGTAGTATTTACAGAACTTTACTAAAATGAAAGCTGAGCATTCTAAAATACTTACCACTTCTATAGCCCAGGGCTACAGCCAAGTCCATAGAATTATATCCAGAGTCGGTTTCTATTGTTGGGTCAGCTCCATTTTCTACACCAAAATAGAAAAATCTACTTAAATAAATGAAAATGCGGATATGGTTGTCTATTACTGACTCATGTGCAAATAGCAAGACAGATTTTCAGCAAATTTAGAGAGCATCTTCAGGATGGCCTGACAAAGACCAGAGCACATGGACTGCACAGGATTCACTTTGGTGAGCCGAAGGGAAGACCCTTCAAACCAACCAGCATCCTCTAGAGCAGCTGAAACTCATAAACAACCAGAGACAGAACTTATGCACAAAGATTCTGCAAACAGAGAAAACAAGCACACGTGATTCCAGAGGAAAGCAACCAGGACAGACGCTCCGATTGCAGGCCTGCTGTGTGATGGAGCTGCCTCTCACACGGGCAACGCTCTGGTAGCAGGTGCAGCACAGTGAACAGCAGCAGGATTACTGCATTTAACAGTAATTAATGATTCTGCTAAGTAATACCACAGGAGGCCAAGTCAGCCCTGGCTGAGTAGCCCAGTTGATTAGAGCATTGTCGCACTACACCTAGGTTGCAGGTTCAATCTTCAGTCAGGACACATACAAGAGTCAATCAATGAATGCTTCAATAACTGGAACAACAAATCAATGTCTCTCTCCCTTTCCCCTCACCCCCTAAAAATCAATAAAGAAGTAAAGTCCTCATGGCAGTTTCTAAATATTTTCATTTTTATCTGCTTACCTAAGAGCATTTTTACACATTTCACATGATTTCCATGTACAGCATAAAGCAAAGGTGTGCCTCCATTCTACAAAAGAAAAAGGTGATTTCATTTTCTAAGGTGAGCAAGATTTGAAGAATTTAATGCTGCTGTGAGAAGTTTTACGAAGAATTGGGCATGTAAATGTAGTTTAAGGTAATTTTAATATTTTGTGAAGAATACTTAAATCAGAATTAGTAACAGAGTTTATGTTATTGACTTTTTCTTCCAGGTGTTTAATTAAGTTAGTGAATTATTCTTCCAAGTATTTAATAAACTTTATTATGTCTTCCCAAACCAAATAAATCCTAGAGTTTGTTATACTAATTTAAAAATCAGTGTCACAGACTCACCCAATCGTATTCATTTACATCAACTCCACAATCAAGCAGCATTTTGACAATATCTGTGTAGCCTTTACTGCACGCCAGAGACAGTGCACTTTCGCGACCTTTTCCTAAAAGCTGGGGATCAGCACCCTGGAGATACAAGACTCTTCAATTCATTTAAACAAGAATACTGTTGTTTCTGTCAATCATAATTACAGTTCAACACTTAGGTCAGGTAATGTCCTGGGGTTAATAAAGAAATAATGCAAACTTCTATCTGTGGATGCTCTTGTTATCAAGGTTGTCTGGATGCTTCTATCTCAACCCTAACTATCCTTTCACTCTGGAGTCAAATCACATCTCTATGAAGCTTCTCCTACAGGCTGGCAGTACTTTAGTTCCCCTTGCACTTAGAGGGGCTGGGCTTTAAATGATCTTTCACTGTTTCATGTATGACTAGTCTTGCCTGCCTAACTAGATCCAAGTTCCACAAGAATGTGATAAGCATTTAAAAATCGTTGGCTGGAGATACCAAAACTTTACTAAAGCCTTAACTGAATTTAAGTAACTGTACATATACATTTTCTGAGGCATTTTCCTTACATTCTGAAGTAGAAACTCTACCACAGCTATTTGCCCGTGTGCTGCAGCCCACATCAGAGGAGTAAATCCTTCTTCATCCGTGTGATTGATAACATTTTCTATTTAAAAGAAAAGCAATTTTTGTGATCTAATTTAACAACCACATATTAATATCACTATGAAAATACTGGCATTCTAAAAAGTTGGTTATGTTACTCAATGAGGATCACTTTGTGCTGATTTTTGTTCACTGAAGTCCTGTTATGTGTTGCTGTAATTTGCACTGACTGTATTAAAATGTGCCTCCATGTATACAACTAAGTTCAAATAGCATGTTATTTAAAGTATAAATTACCAGCCATGACATATATAATGTTAGGTACAAGGTAATCCACAGAACACTGGGCTGGTAATTAGGAGACCAGTTTGAATCCTGCCTGTGTCACTTTCTAAAAGTGTTATTCTGGGCAAGTCACTTAATTTCTCCAATACACAGAATAATACCTTACTTATCTCATGTGTAGCTTATATAATAGCCCTTAGCATTACATAAGTATTTACTATTATAAAAACTCCAAAATCTTATTAAAGCTATCGTCTAGTCTATAACTAACATTGCTGCCTCTGAATTTCATTCATTCTTGGTGGTTTGCTAAAATAATATAATGTGAAGACTGAATACTTTGAAAGACAGTACATGTAATTCTGCCGCGAATCCCATTTTTCCCCCTAGATTCAGTCTACTAGTTATAAAGGCCACTGTTTTCCCCCTAAATTTATTTAGTAGCTTGAGGATGAAACCTTCAAATATTTATAAACAAACAAACATAATGATGAAGTAAGTCTTTCTTATAAAAGATTGACGATTAAAAAATAAACATCTTTTATCATGCACACTGTGTTCAATCAGTAAAGTTGGGACCACCGTCTAACTTCTTGGAAAATGAAAATAAATGTAAAGCTTGATCTTTATCTCATTACACCTAAACATATTTCATATGTGTCAAAAATTGATATGTAAAGAGGAAACCACAGAAGTTCTAGATAAGACATAAATGAATTTATTTATAATTTTAGAGTACGAAATCCTTTCTAAGCAGGACAGAAAACTGAGAAGTCACAAGGAAAAAAGTAAATTTACTGCTTAAAAATGTTAAGCGTTTGAAAAATATCATAAAGTCAAAGGAAAAATGACAAACTGGAAAAAATATGCAACATAAACAACAAAAAAGCAAATTTCTTTAATTTTTATAAGGGTTCACAGAAATAAACATAAAAGGAAATTCAAATATGCTATTTTTTAGATTAGTCTGATAATATCTTGTGTCAGTGAGGATATGGGGCAATAGAAATTCTAACTCTGGTGTGAAGATAAGACAAACATCTGGCAATAAATAGAAAAATTCATACACCTTTTAACCTAGCAAATATTCTTGAAGAAATTTGCCCGTGGATATACTTAAAAAGAATGCCAACAACATTGTTACTTAATAGCAACAAACAGAATCAACCACCACCAGGGGGACTAGTCAAAAAATAAAAATCAAGGTATATGTATGTGCAATACAATGCAAAATCTGGACCTACAAAAAGAATAAAATAGATCTTATGTACTTATATGGAAAGATTTCCAAAATTTTAAGTGACAAATAAAGGGCAGTATATTTCCTCTAGTGTAAATAAGAAAAAGCACATACACATTCTCACATACAACTCCAAATATAAATGGAAATGTTTTCTGGAAGAGTTTTCTGAAAATATAAGAAAATTATATTTGCTTTTGGGGAAAAGGCTAGGCTGGTAAGAGAAGCTATAACTTTTATACATTAGAGTACTTAAAAATCTTATATGCCTGGTAAGATTACACACCATTTTTTAAATCTTTATACTTTCCTGTCTTAAAAGAAAAAAAATAACAACTCTAATAAATCCTATTAAATTTGTTTTTAATATATTTTAACAAATAGGCTATTACCTTGTTCAATACGAGTAGCCAGGTAGAGCATCTCTCCCTGAGCAGCTAACTGATGAACAGATAAAGCTGAAACAATACCATAGAAAGCTTCATGTATATATGTAGGGTACACTTTCATAATCTCATTGCTCATGTTTGTGCAGAAATTTTCTTTTCCACAACAAAATCTATCATTTTATTGATTTAAAAAGTCTACCTAAAATATACCCTAACCTAGCTGGTTTGGCTCAGTGGATAGAGAGTCCACCTGCAGACCATAGGGTCCCAGGTTCGATTCCAGTCAAGGGCATGTACCTTGGTTGCAGGCTCCTCCCCCACACAGACCCTGGTCAGGGCTTGTGCAGGAGGCAACCAATCGATATGTTTCTCTCATATCGATGTTTCTCTCTGTCTTTCCCTTTCTCTTCCACCTTCCCTAAAAATCAATGGAAAAATATCCTCAGGTAAGGATTAATAAAATATACCTTAACACTGCAAGTAGTCATTCTGTATCTGAGAATTGACTCTTTTAAGGTAATTCTGACACCTGCAAAGTGTTATTAATTATCAATGAATATGCATATTGTTATCATTAATTACTAACAGTACAGATTGTTACTGACTTTATCAATCAAAGAAATGGCTAAGGCTCTTAATTTTTAAAATAGCATCTCTTTTCCAAACTTGTAAGAAAGTTGGATCTAACAGACAAAGATACACCTTTTGTCTTTTCATTGATTCAATCCACTGAAGTCCAAAATATCATTATTTCAAGATTCCATGGGTTTTTAACTTTAGGAGGAGTGAGGTGGTAAGTGACAGCTGAGCTTGAGAGAAAATTCTTGAATGCAGACCTAGTTGTGGCGAATTTGGTATGTGTCCTTAGATAACTAATTAAACAGTTTTGTCTGTAACATGAGGCACATGAATCACATGATCTCTAGATATTTTGAGATCAATAATTCTATGGTTGGAATATTTTAAGACAATCTCTTTATTTTAAACAAAACCAAATAGGCACTGTTCTATGAGAGTTCACATTAAAAATTAGTATCACTGCAGTGGTATGATTGGGTGGCCTTAATACAGAAAAGAAAGCAATTGGGAGGCACATGCAAGTAAAACAGAAATGGCCAATAGGTGGAGTAAGTCACATGCTACAGCATGCGATTCAAAATCAGGAGGAATAGAATATCTCCAACGTAAAGATATATATATTTCACCATACATTAGGATATAGATGCATTTACATTATATTCTCACATATAGTTCCTAACATCAAATTGCTAACTGGTTGGCTCTCATTAACTTACCCATACTATACAGAATACAGTTTATATAGAAAAGCTTCATTTTATTTCTTCTAGAATGAATACACAGTTTTTAAAAAAAAATGTGGACTCAAAGTATTTTTTAAAAGGTAGTTTCATATTTACATTATTATATTCAAATGAAAAATTACAGTAGCAATCAGTCAGCTTTTACTACAAATAACTCGTGGTTCAGTTGATCTAGTTTACAAGCACAGTGTGAAGCCTGGCACTCCAAGAACACAAAAACACTCACAATGTCTTACTTCGCACAAAGTTTAGACTAACTCGTTTTTATAGTAGATTATAAAGGTTTTAAGAATTAATATTTCAATCTGTATTTGTTTTAAACATAGAAACATAAATTATGAACTATTTTTTGATTATGCAGTAATATGTAAAAAAGTTTTAAATTACTAAAACTATGAACACATCACTTCAGCTTTCTAAAATGAAATATGCATTTAATGAAAATATGTTTCAAAGCCAAACTGTTGAAACCATTATATTAGTAACAAGAAGAGTTGAATACATCAGTGGGAACTACTTACAATTTGCTAACAGAGGTGTGGTTGAGACCTCATTTCCTCTGTGCTTGTTGGTTAAGGTAGTTGACTGTTTTATGGGTGAGAAGTGCTTTGTTGTAGAGGGAGTGTAGACATGCCTTACTTGGATTCCCGGGGAAGGAGATGTATGGATATTGCATTCAGCTAAGTAAAATAAATTTAAACACATTAAAACAATATGGTAATGACAAAGCATTTCAAAGTTCTATGTCAATGCTTACATTAAAAAGGAAATACATGAGGTAAATCTTCAACTGTTTCTCAAGTGATATTAAATTATTTTTGCCATAAAGTCTGGACTATGAGAGTGAATGTTCCAGAAAAAAATTTGTATTAATGTTGAGCAATTTATTTTTGGAATAGTATTTTTATTCAATAGAGTGTTGTAAAGTAAATCTACAATATGATGACAGATTTCACTGAGTTAAAGCACAGGAAGCTAATGCTAATCAAATATTCATGGAATAAGGAATATTAAGGTAATTCACTTGTAAAAGACAACAATAATATTTTTCTCCTATGGTTTAGAAAGGAATAATAGAAACTTTATTAGACAATTTCTAAATAAACAAAGGTTAAGCAAGAAATTTAAAAAACTCAACATGTACTTATGGACATTATGTAACATGAAGTCATTTAATTTTGGTTTCTGTGAGATTCTAGAAAATCATATTAAAAGATGACTTCCAAATTTTCTTCCTAAATTCAAAATCTCATGATCAGAAAGGAATGAAAAAAACACACACACTCTAAATAAACAAAAACAAAACAAATGCAGATATTTATACCATAACTTTCAACCTTTAAATAGGACAGATGCCACCTCCAGGTCCGAGTTAACCTGATCTTGAATATTTTTACTATCCTCTTCATTTAAGGACTTCACAAATCGAGAACACACGTTCATATCAAATCGGTTAGGCAATATGAATTTCATCCCCATGGCAACACCCTGCGCCGATCCTTCTTGTGCATTTGAGTCCAACTGATGTTCTATTTTAATGTCTGGCATGCCAGTTAGACTATAACTGCTGGGACACTCTTCCACTATCAGCTGGGCTCCAAGATCCAGATTTGCTGATGTGGCCATGATTTCAACTGTAGTTTCAATAATTAAAACATTTCTTCATAATTTCTCTTGGTTTTTTAAGAGTGGCATCCAGTGTATTCTTGAAATCTGGGTATAAAAAAAATCGGAAAGAAATTAAAAGTATTATATCAACTTAGGTAAAAGTGCATAAAATAATCATTTTCAATCAAGTATGCAAAGAATATTCTTATAAACACCTATTAATAAGAGAAAGCATACAATGTTCATAGGTAGAGAACCCTGGATATAAATCCAAGCTCTGTCATTTATTAGCTGAGTGAACCTTACAAGTTACTCAGCCTCTCTAAGTCTCAGCCTCACTTGTAAAATGGAGATACCACCACTAACCTCACAGGATCCTGGTAGACCAAAAGAAATACAGTAACATTTTCACCTTCATCACTAAGTTCCAACAAATTTTAATTACTCTTTTCTCCCCTTTCCTATTCCTGAATATTGGCAAATGGATGAAAGATCAGGCTAACAAGAAAAAAATAAACTTTCATGTGAAAACTTTAACCTCTCATCTTAGGTTCATTTTTTAGCATGCTATGTTTTTAAGTGGCTCTCAGTTTGAATTTAAGATAGCATTCATGCTTGTACTCAAGTCTACTGGCATCTACAATACCCGTGATTCCTAGATAGTGAGAGACTGTACAAAGCTTTGGTTATGATGAACTGGAGATATATTTCTTTATCAGTTTTTGTTCAAATCACATGTTACCAAATTAATATAGATTTTTATAAAAATAAAGTGTGGAGATTATAGATTGGCTTCCTTTGCTTTATCGTCTCTAGGACATTAGGATCAAAGTAGAATTTTTGGATCTCAATCTTTGCAATAAGTATTAAGAATACTTTTTTTTCAAATATAGGTCATCAAGACATGAACTAAAAAAATGCTGACTCTCAATGCATAGATTATAAGCACACCATTTACTATTATTTTAAAATTAGTTTTCAGTAATCATTGACACTTCCCTATGGACCTTAATATAATTTTAAGAGAAATTTCACTATTTTACCTAAAATTGGTTCTAAAAAAAAGAACTCCAAGACATATAATTGTCGCAGATTATAATCACTGAGACATGAAAACAACATCCAATTAATTGTTTCATGTTAGAGTTTCCTGCCTCTTAGAATTTTGAGAGGGTGCAGGGTGTTTAAAAATGGAAGAATGTCTTAGGATCACAGTGAAGCAGAGGTTGGTAAACCATACATTTACTGATAAACGTTCTCCAAGATTGATCCTTATAGCAACCCATTGAGTAGTCAGGGCAGGCAGTCATTATGTCCACCATAGAGAGGAGGAAATGGGAGCTCATGAGTATGAGGGACCCACCCTGCTCTCCTGACTCCATCACACTGTCCACTAAAATAAAGCAGCACTGCCCTAGCCGGTTTGGCTCAGTGGATAGAGCCTCGGCCTGCGAACTGAAAGGTCCCAGGTTCGATTCCAGTCAAGGGCACATGCCCGGGTTTTGGGCTCCAGCCCCAGTGGGGGACTTGCAGGAGGCAGCTGATCCATGATTCTCACTCACCATGGATGTTTCTCTCTCTCTCTTCCTCTTCCTTCCTCTCTGACATCAATAAAAATATATTAAAAAAAAATAAAGCAGCACTAAATTAATCCCAAACTTCTAAGACAGAAGGAGTTGAAGAAATAACACACTGTAATAGTAATTACAAAAAAGAAAGTAACATAACGAAGTCAGTACCCTTCAGCAGAAGGACAGAAGGAAACCAGATCAGAACATAAGAATGGTGTTTCTTCCGGTGAGAGCCAGCCCTACAGGCTCTTACCCTGCGGGGGCCTAAGTGCAACTCCCCCGAGCTCTCTCTGCACCCTGCATATATTTCTAGTCCAGCATTTATCATTCTCTTGAAAATTCCCATTTCAACTCCCCCAGATGGAAAACTCCTTTAGGATGGGGACTACTCTTACGAGACTTTGCAACACAAAACAGTGCTTGGCCCTATCAGGTACTCCACAAATGTTTTCTGACCTAAACTTTAACATCTTCATATTCTTTTCTATCCTGAAACGACCCTGCATTATGCTCAACAAACATCTGCTGATTACATCTGGTGTTCCATTCCCACCATCACGACTAGCTAGCCGTACAACCCTGGGCAGACAACGCATGTAAAGTCTTCTGAGACTCATTTTATTCACCTAGAAAACAAAAATGGTTGAAACAAACATGTCTAATAGTCTTTCCAGCTCGAAACGCCTTCCATGTAATAAATCAGGGTTTACAGGAGCAACTCCGGGCCTTTGAAGGGAGGAGTGCAAACGTCCTTGGGGGAGGAAGGGGCAGAAATACACAGGACGCTATTCTGGCCCTGCTCTGGAGAGGAGCAGCGAAGTTGGCTGGTTACGCCAAAAATTGGAATTGTAGGGGGTGGGGGGGTGGGGAAGGTGATCGGTAAGAGAAGGCGGCGAGAAAAACAGGTAAGGCCAGGGAGAGCCGAGACCCCTCCATCTACCAGCGCGCAGCGAGGAAGGGAGAGAGGGGCCCCGAGAGCAAGTGGGCACCGCGCTAGTCCCCGGGACGCCGACCACGGGCGCCCGCTCTCCCCAGCCCCGAGCTGTCCCCCAAGGAAAGGCGAGCGCCAGGAAAATGAACGATTCCTCACGGGCGACAGGTCCCCGGCGTCCCAGGACTGGAGCCCGCCACAGGGAGCCCGTGCCGGGGAGGGACGCCCGCTCCGCCGCCAGCTCCGCCCGGGAGGTCCCGGCGCGGGCTCCGGCGGCAGGCGGACACTCTGGCTCACCCGCGGCGGGCGGGTCCGGGGGACGGGGGCCCGAGGCCGGCCGCGGGGGAGCGCAGGGCCTCGCGGCCACCTTCGACAGCCAACCGCGAGGGGGGCCTTCCCATCTGCGGCCACAGGTTCACTACAGGCCCTCGAGCCCCGGCTTGTTTTGACCGCGACGTCACTTCCGAGTTCTTCTTTCGCTTTCGGGGCGAACACCGCGCCGCGTCCAGGCAGCCGGGAGGCTGGCCAGGTCCTCTCCCGCCGCCGCGCCGCGCGGGGCTGGGCGCCCGAGCTCTACAGGGACCGGGTCATTTCAATGGGTCACTCTGAGTGACTGGAGCAGAGCCCAGTCTCGCCCGTGGGCCCCGCCCCTCCCGATAAGCCCCGCCCCCTTCCCCTGCCCCCGCCCCCGCGACACCCGAGCGGCGAGATCCGCGGAGCCTGAGCCGTTACGTCATCAGCGGGCGACGGGCCTGGCCTTTCCATTCGCCGGGTGTCTCGGCGACTCCTGAGGGTCCATGTGACCGGCTCCTAGTGCTTCTGGGCTGCCCCGGGAGGGGTCTAGCGGGGTCCAAGAAATTCTCCCGAAGTCCGGGTGTTTCGGCGGACCCCCGGGGCCATCGGAGGTAGGTGAAGGCGGCTCCCGAGGAGGGTAGCTCAGACCCACGCCGGATCTGCCTTGGTGGGTGGCATGCTCCTCTGGGCTCCCCAGTCTCCGCTGGTTACCTCTTAGCCAGCCCATGGGGATCCCCTCAATTCCTCTTCCACCCAGATTTCCCTCCTTTACGATCACAGCCCCGTTACACCGTCCGCTATTACTCGTCCCCGGAGTAATCCGCATCTTCGCAAGGCAGTGGGCAAATTCCCATCTCTGTGCCTAGGAGGTTCCCTCGGTTCCGAATACTCCCTCCTCCGCCGTCTGTTTTAATATTATCCAGAACTTCACAGCCCAGCGGAAACGCACACCGTGAATCTTCCTGGGAACCACCCAGATGTCACATCACTTCTCGCCTCCATGCCTCTGCTCTGTGTCGTGCCCCGCCAATGCTGTTCCTCACTCATCTGGCACATTACTGCTACTACTCCTGCTACTGCTCCTCAGTTTTCCTTCTTAATGTTAAACTGTTTCTCTCAGGACACAGTGATGTGCTCTTCTGCTCATACTCTAGTATGGGGCAAAGTCCTGCAGGCGGATCGGGCCTGGTGCTTGTTTTTGGGTAGTCAGTGAACCAAGAATGGTTTTTACAGATGAACATTTGCAGTCTATTTGATAGGAAACACTCACTTTGAACCTGAAGTGAGTGAAATATTCTCCTCCCTCCCCCAAATCCCATTTTCATTCATAAATAAAAAATTGTAGTCATAACTGTTTTGGGGGTTTCATTGGAAATTTTCTTTCTTACTATATAAGTAACTACATTAATACCCCCTGTTTTCCTGTTGGCCCACAAAGCCTAAAATATTTAACACCTCGTTCTTTACAGAAAAAGTTTGTCAACTCCTCTTCTTATGTTCATCTTATAGACCCCACTTGTGATTTTAATTTTGTGTTTTCCCATAGAACCCAGCACAATGCATCCTTTCCTTCATTCTACAGACATTCTTTGTTGTTAGATATCTCTGATGGCCATTTGGAAGATGGATGAGGGAGTTAGGAGGACCTTATGTCACACTATTAGTAGATGAGAAGATCTGAGTTAGGGCAGTGGAACTAGGTGGAGTGAACGTGATGAAGTTTAATTTGGGAGGTAAAATCAGCAGATCTTTTTGGATGTTAGACGTGAGAAGGAAGGGACAAGTCAAGGCTGATTCCAGATTCCTAGCTGGTGCCAATCACAGCTGAAATGGAGAATATTCGGGTGTGAGGGTACAGACCATGTCTTTCAGTCATCCTTGTATCCCTAGTGTCTAGAACAGTGTCCTATACATTGTAAGTACTTGAATGAACAGAAAAGTTTCCCCCCTTTTTAATCATTGATGACCATGTTTCATCAAAACAGCCTTTAAAATATGTTGCACTTACAGATTTTGGTGTTACCTCTGCACTATTTTCAGGCTTTCTGGGATAGATGATGAATTGTACCATCAGAATCATTCATCTGATAAAATGGAATCTTTTTCAGATTGAATAGTTCTGGAAAGACAGTTTGGGCTTAATTACATGTCAGTTATGTTTCATTCTGTTCTCTCACTTTAATTAAGATTTAATTCCAGAATTGCTTTATTCTTGTTTTCTTATTGTTTAAACCATCTTAAAAATTAATTTAATCTTGAGCTTCTACATCAGAATATTATCTTCTTGTTTTATTTTCATTTAAGCTTTTAAATTTAATTTTAAGCTTCCACATTAGAATATTAGTTTTGTTTTCCATTCTTTTTGGCATTTTAGGCTTTCAGGATGTCAATCCCTGTCTTCTTAAAGATTAAATGTCATTTTAGTTTAGTTTCAGGAAACTTTTATATTTGCAGTTTCACCTTCAATAAATGACATTCTAAACATCATGCGTCTCTCCTGCTTTGGCTACTGGACGGCTAAGCTAGATTTATTCCCAAGTGTTATAACTGGGTCAGTTGGGTGTGAGGACATTTATATGTAGCCTCTGTGTATAGCTGAGTTGGATTGTGCAGTATGGTAGCCCTATTTGTATTCTTCCTGCTTTCGTTAGATTATTTCTTCTGTGTTATAATTAAATGGTTTACTGATCACTAAGCTGCTATACAGCCTTTTGACAGGATGCAGAGTGAAAAATCACAACTGTATATATATAGGTTTATGAGTAATACTAGAGGCCTGGTGCACACAATTCATGCATTGGGGGGGGGGGGGGGGGAAGGGTCCCTCAGCCAGGCCTGCACCCTCTTACAGTCCGGGAGCCCTTGGGGGATGTCTGACTGCCTTCAGTCGGACATCCTTAGCACTGCCATGGAGGCAGGAGAGGCTCCTGCCACTGCCGCTGCACTCGCTTCTGGCTGAGTGGTGTTCCCCCTGTGGGAGCACACTGACTACCAGGGGGCAGCTCCTGCATTGAGTGCCCCGTGGTGGTCAGTGCACATCATAGTGACAGGTTGTTCCACCATTCGGTCGATTTGCCTATTAGCCTTTTATTATATAGGATGTATTAAAATATTTTCTTTTTCAGACATAAGGCAGAGTCACTAAAATTATTTCTAACATCAGTTTCAGACTACTTACTTTTGGATAACAGTCTAATTGTATGAAACTATGGCTGGTTATAAGCCTGTAGCTATTCAGACATACCCTATACTTGGTGAAAAAATCACCCAGGATACACTGTACTGGAACAACTATAAGGTAAGTATTTATGCCAATTTCTCCAGCATGTGTTATACTTTGGATACACTAGTAGAGAACTAATAACTAAAAACAATCTATCAGCAGCTTATAGTTTGGGCAGAAAATTTGATATTAGATATTTTCTTGGAATTTTATATAAATTGCTGCTTAATCATACAAGTGCCTAGTACAAAATAGATGATTAATCAGTGACAAATGAATTAAATTTTAGAATTTGAATCTCATGCAAGAAGTTTTTTTTTTCTTTTCTTAATCTAAGGAGGAAGTGATGTAAAATTAATTCTTCTAGATTATAAAGACTTAAATAGATATTCTCAGTTGTAACTCTGTGAATACTGCAATTGTTAATACTCTGTATTATTTTTTTATTAAGACCCCTGTTCAGATCAAGGAGTTTGGCGCAGTGTCAAAAGTAGACTTTTCTCCACAGCCTCCATATAATTATGCTGTCACAGCTTCTTCAAGGGTAAATATAACATTACATTTATTTTTCTTTTTATAGTTTATATTTACTACTAATTGTGAGCCATCTGGTAAAATACCATGTTTTTTTTCTTGTAGATTCACATTTATGGCCGATACTCCCAGGAACCTATAAAAACGTTTTCCCGATTTAAAGACACAGCTTACTGTGCTACTTATCGACAGGATGGTAGATTGCTTGTGGCTGGCAGTGAAGATGGTGGAGTTCAGCTTTTTGATATAACTGGGAGGGCTCCCCTCAGGCAGTTTGAAGGCCATACTAAGTAAGAGACAGTTAAAAAAATCTTATTTAATTGAGGTATAATTTACATACAACATTATATTTGATATTTGTATATATTGCAAAATTGTCACAAGGCTAATTCATTTTTTCCATCATACAGTTTTAGATACGTGTTTTTTATGTGTTCTTTATGTTTAGTTTTGTAAACTCTGTTTTCTGGGCTTTGAATAAAAACATAGAGAAGATTATGTATCTTTAAATACTTTATTTCTTGGTTGTTGTAAGACAGTCTGTTTTCTGGTTCAGTCCTAAGGTCCAGTTTGATGGGGCTTATGAATTCCCTAGCATTGTATGTAACATTTTAGGAAATGGATATTTATCTAGGGAGACATTCTATAGTGTTCATTAACTTCTCAGTGAGATCCGTGACCCAATTGTGATTATAAAGCACTGATCTAAAGGTAGCCTCACAACTGTTAATGAGAACTTTATAAGCCTGAACTGTATTAGTTCTCATTTTGAAGTTAAGTTGGAAGGTGGATTTTCTTTCTTCTTGGATTTAGTATTTTGCCCCTTGATAAATTGAACTGCCAAGGCAATTTTATATTATAACTTTATTTCAGGATTACCAATGTCATTTCTATAATTTGCTATCAATTTAAAATCTCAAGAGTGTTTTTTTTAATATTGTACTAGAGGCTCAATGCATGGATTCGTGCACCGGTGGAGTCCCTTGGCCTGGCCTGCAGGGATCAGGCTGGAACCGGCTCTCCGACATCCCCTGAGGGGTTCCGGATTGCGAGAGGGCACAGGCCAGGCCGAGGGACACCACTGGTGCACCGGGCCTCTAGTATGCATATAAGATCGTTGGTTAATCTTTTCCCACCCTCCCTCCTTGCCTTTTCCCTCTGAGATTCATCAGTCTGTTCCATGTGTCCATGCTGTGGTTTCTGCTCCTGCTCCTGCGTTGAGCATATGCCCCCTGGTGGTCAGTGCATCATAGCTACCAGTCAGATTGTCTGCTGGCTGCTTAGGCTTTTATATATATAGATTATCAGGATGGTCTTATCTTATCCCCTCAAACATTTAAAATATAACAGAAGTTTACTTAACATGATCCTATTTAGTGGCAGAACTTCTTAGAATTTTTTAAGGAACTACCCATTTTGAAATTTTTTAAATTAAAGAAAAGTATCTGTGTACCAACATTTAGAATATTTTACTTTCAAATTGTTAACATATTAGAAAGTATAATTTCAAGGCTATTGTTTAATATTCTTATTAACTTCATAGTGCATGGGTATTTAAAATTTTAAGTTAGCTTGAGGACAGACACCTGTTTTAAGTATTTTTTTTCCCCCTCTTTATGATTTCACCCTGCAATTACACCCTGAAACATTTGGGGGAAAGAAATGTTTTATGTTAGAAGGTGTCAGACATACAATTTTTTCTTGCTTTTTAATAAACTGATCCTTTATCTTTCAGAGCAGTCCATACAGTAGATTTTACAGCTGACAAATATCATGTGGTCTCTGGGGCTGATGATTATACAGTTAAATTATGGGATATTCCAAACTCCAAAGAAATTCTGACATTCAAAGAACATTCTGATTATGTGAGGTGTGGATGTGCTAGCAAGCTGAACCCAGATCTCTTTGTAACAGGTTGGTAAACTCAAACTCACTCTCCCCGCCCCCCCCCCCGCCAAAGTTGATAACTTTACTGTGCTAGATTTTAATATGCTTTGGGATTGTTTTTGGATAGAGGAGTTTAAACATTTTTTAATAAACATATGTTTTTGTTTATCCAGTTTTCTTTTTCTTTTTTTGGTGATTGTTCTGACTGTCCTCCAAATGTACTTGGAAACATCAGGCTGCCTTGAAAACATAAGACAGTCAGAACTGTAATGGGTTTAGTATTCTGATTTCAGAGTCTCCAGCATCTAGGAAACAAGACAATGCAGTCAGTCTTTGGGTGCCTGTGCAGAGATTCCCAGATGACTCAGGACAGAAGCCTGGAGATAGGAATAGTTTAAGATTCTGTGTAATATAATATCGTGCTTCTTCAGAAACAGTGGTACCAAAGGGTTTGGAGGTACTATATCTTTATGAATTTACATATGACTCTTTAAAAATTTCATCTAAACTTTTTTCTATTTATTTATTTATTTATTTATGTATTTTAATATGTTTTTATTGATTTTTTAGAGAGAGAGGAAGGGAGAGGGAGAGAGGTACTGTAGAAACATCAATGAGAGAGAAACAATCAACATTGAGTGGCTGTCTCCTGCACAACTCCCACTGCGGATCAAGCCTGAAACCCGGGCGTGTGCCCTGACTAGGAATCGAACTGGTGACCTCTTGGTGCATGGGTCGATTCTCAACCACTGAGTAACACCAGCCGGGCTAAGCTTTTCTCCTTTAAAATTTTATGTTTGAATATATGTACATGCACACACACACACACACACACACACACATACTAGTAGTTTTTGTTGTTTTGAGTAGTGAAACTCACATAATAAAAATTGACATTCTAGGGTCATATGATCATACTGTGAAGATGTTTGATACACGAACAAACAAGAGTGTTATCTCAGTAGAGCATGGTCAGCCAGTGGAAAGTGTCCTGCTTTTTCCCTCTGGAGGTCTTCTGGTATCAGCAGGTATTTCTTTTAAAAATTGCTTTCACCAGTATGTTGGTCTTGAATCAGATAATTTCTTTATCAGTTAGGTTTTATAATTTATCAGTGTGCACTTGAATTGCCTATATGTGTTTGCTCAAACAATTGAGAAGTGGGACCGGCAGGCAGTTATCATTTATTGAGTACTAATGTGAACCAGACACTGTGCTATTATCTCTGATTCCCTAGATGAGCCCACAAGGGAGGTAGTTTTCTCCCTGTTTTGCAACTGAGGAAATAAATAAAAGTTTTAACTAATTTGTCCAAGGCAAAGTGGTAAATAGATCTGAAATCCCAGAACTTGAGAGCCTGCTTATGTCCTTAACCCAGAAATCCAGGTTGTACACCTGCTGTTATTCTTACATAGATCTACGGCAGTTTTTGAAAACACAGTTTCTTTCAGATCTAGAATCAGGCTTGTTTTTTTCATGTGACTCTTGATGAAATGGCCTTACCCAGGAAATAGCTGCTAGTGCTGGAGGAGGAGGTAATGTGAGGTCAAAGAGGCCTTGATACATTTTTCATCTAGGGTGGAGCTGAAGTGTGCTTATGTTGATCATAGTGCATTTTCAAAATTATAATGGAAGAAGTGAAGTGGCTGTTTTCATTTGTCAAATCAAAATTAATGTGTTGACCTTGGAAGCATACATAGATAGTATGTGTACTTTATAGCCTACTAGAAAAAGGCTGTGTGTAGCCTTTTAAAAAAAATTCTGAAAGTATCCTGTTTGATACTCTCCCCCCAGTACCTATTGGATTAAAAAAAAAAAAAAGTTGATGACATTGTTAGACGTTATCTATTTGTCTTGCTGTTGTTTTGAGAAATGAAAAGTTCAAGATGAGAAGTATGATAGGTACCTGTATGCTAATTACTGTGTCACTAGTTATGTGACCTTGAGCAATCCCTTAGCTTTTATCGATCTTGAAAAGGAGAGGTTAGGCTAGATCAGTGTTTCAAACTGTAATCTCTCTCATGAGCTGCCACATGTGAGGAGACAGGGACCGTGAATTGGGTTCCAGGCCCTCTTGCACAGTCAGGTTAGGTAAGAAATTTGTTCCCCCTTCCACAACCCCTTTTTCTATTTTACCTCTTAGACTTCTGCTTAAGATTTCATTAAGAAGTCGTTAATATTTCATTAAGATGCTGAATTAAAAAATTCTTTTTTAACCATTGGATTAAATTGTGGTTTAGGATCCTTCCAACTCTTAAAGTAAGAAAAAGTTATAGGGAAGTTTTTCAGTTACATTGGGATTCGCAAAATTTTTTGGAAATAAAATCTGCATTATTTCTATGGTATTACAACATTTCTTTTGAAGAATGTTTTATTATAATTTTGTTGAAATCTTTTGGTTTTACGTTTTATTTTACCATGTAGTTTTGTGTATTTGAAAAATAAGAAATTACTTAATTGTCCTAACAGCTCTGCGAGGTAGGAGCTGTTATTATTATCAGGTACACACCCAGCAAAAGGTAGTCAGCTTTGAAACCAGGCAGTCTGCCTCTGGAATCCCTCACTTAACCTCTGTGCTGTGGAGTGTCCAGTGAAGAATGCTCTTCAGGTCTTAAATTTTTGAATCTATAGTTGGAATATCAAACTAATGATTATTTCTTTTTATAGGAGGCCGTTATGTTAAAGTCTGGGACATGCTAAAAGGAGGACAGTTGCTAGTGTCTTTGAAAAATCATCATAAAACTGTAACATGTTTATGTCTGAGCAGCTCTGGACAGAGGTTACTCTCTGGTTCACTGGATAGGTTAGCATTTTCATTTTCTTTCTTCATCGTTATTAGTATACTAGAGGCCCGGTACACGAAAATCATGCTTTTGGGAGGGGGGGAGGGAAGTGGTCCCCTCAGCCCGGCCTGCTCTCTCTCGCAGTCTGGGAGCCCTCGGGGGATGTCCAACTGATGGCTTAGGCCCACTCCCTGTCAGTCGGACAGTCATTCGGACATCCTTAGTGCTGCTATGGAGGTGGGAGAGGCTCCCACCACTGCTGCTGCACTCACCAGCCGTGACCCTCGCTTCCGGACTGAACGGTGCTCCCCCTTTGGGAGCACACTGACCACCAGGGGGCAGCTCCTGTGTTGAGTGTCTGCCCCCCAGTGGTCAGTGCGTGTCATAGCAACCGGTCATTCCACTGTTTGTTCGATTTGCATATTAGCCTTTTATTATATAGGATAAGTATTTATTGCTGGAAATGAGTTGTTTCTGCAGTTTTTGTGATAAAATAAATATTCTGCCAAATGATTTCCATGAAAAAAATTCTGTTGAGTTGAAAATAGTTTTGACCTTTTATTTACATATAGAAAACTTAGATGTAGTTTATTGCTTTAACTTATATACTTAAGGAATTTTTATTCTCATCTGAGGATACATTTTTTAATTAACTTTAGAGAAAGGGGACAGGAAAGGGAGGGAGGGAAGGGGAGAGAGAGATATGAGAGAGAAACATTGATCAGTTGACCCCTGTACTTGCCCTGACCAAGAATGGAACCCGAGACCCTTCAGTGCACTGGATGACGCTCCAACCGAGCCACAACAGCCAGGGCATACTTACGGAATTTTACTGAACCATTCAAACATTGATCTTTTAAAACAATCTATATTCTGTAGTTTCTTTTTAAAATCATTTTGGTATATTCGTATATTTTCAAACAGTTATAATGAGTATATGTATATATTCTAGTTTATAATATTTAAAATTTAAAACTCCATGTAAAAATTTATATATATTAATGTAGTCCAATTTTACTATTTTAAATAGGTATTAGTATTCTATTAGTTAATGTTCTAGAACAGTGCTGTCTAGTAGAAATGTAATGTGAGCTTATATATGCCATTTAAAATGTCATAGTAGCCACATTAAAAAGGTAAAAGCTAGGTAAAGTTAATTTAACTAGGTAAAATTCATTTATTTCACTGTATCTAAAATATTATTTCAATATGTAATCACTATAAAAATTAATGAGATACTAGAAACAATTTTAGCATGTAATACATGCCCTCCAATAACAATATTTTATAGTGATTAAAGTGAAACATACTGGTGTTTAACAGAAAAATATTTTTATACTGCTTCAGCTTTAAAATTAAATTAAAATTAAAATTAAGTAAAATAAAAAATTCAGTTCTTCATTTTCACTAGCCACATTTTAAGTGCTCAGTAGCCACATGTGGCTAGAACTACAGCACAGTTCTAGAATTATATTCCTCTGTTGTTGGTCATTTTTATTTATTTTATTTTATTTTTTTAAAATATATATTTTATTGATTTTTTACAGAGAGGAAGGGAGAGGGATAGAGAGTTAGAAACATCGATGAGAGAAAAACATTGATCAGCTGCCTCCTGCACACCCCCTACTGGGGATGTGCCCACAACCAAGGTACATGCCCTTGACCGGAATCGAACCTGGGACCCCTCAGTCCGCAGGCCGACGCTCTATCCACTGAGCCAAACCGGTCAGGGCATGTTGGTCATTTTTAGTTCCTCCCCCATTATGTAAAGCCTTCCCCCCTCAGTCTTTATTAAAAAGCATTCATTTTAAAGCTAGAAAATACTTCTAATACAAAGGAATTTATTGTGTAAATATGTAGCAAATTCTCTCTAATGTGTTACTAGGCAACTTGGGACTAAAAGCTAGATAACTTGGCTCTGTCTGCAGTAGTTTTTGACCCATAAGAGAGGATTCAGTGATGAATTAGTTTGTAATTAATATTACTAATTGTTGTTTATCTTTATTGTGTAAATTTTAATATTTATGTATTGAATTTTCAAAAAATGGAAAATTTTATACTCATTTTCAAGATATTTTGTGACAAAGCTTTCTTTTTTATTAGGAAGGTGAAAGTATATAGCACAACTTCCTACAAAGTAGTCCACAGTTTTGATTATGCAGCTTCAATTTTGAGTCTTGCACTTGCAGTAAGTACTTTTAGTTTCTTTTAAAGCTTCCCCTAACCTCGCCTGTTAAATGAAACTAAAATGGAATGGTAGGGTTTATCTTTGTATTTAAATAAACCTTATTTTCTTTTTGCCACATTAGAGTATTGAATTAAGACAATTACTAGAATATATGACTTGTCTCAGTAACTTAGCATGTGTTCAGATTTAGGTCCCGCACATTGCATAGCTTCAAACCAAGAGCAGTGCTGTAGGCCTTGTTAGCACCAAGGGCAGGACTTGGGAAGTTGATAAAACTCTTCAAAACATTTAACTCAAGGGTTAAGTGCTTAGAAAGTCAAATTGGCTCTCTGAGGGGGGTGGGGACCGTGGAGGACAGGGGACTACAAAGTACCTCCTTTCCTTTGTTGACTGCTCTTTCTGGAATGTCCACTGTCCACTTTCACGAGCCATTGAGAAGGAGGATATTTGGATACATTCTAGAGAAATCCAAATTGGGAGAGGAAGATCAAATATTTTCTTGGCAAGAGTAGAAAATCATGTCACTACATAATCCTTTTTTTCTAGTAATAGGATGCAGAAAAAAATATTTTGGAGTTTTCCAAGATGTCATTAACTGCATATTATTACACAAACTGCCAATGATGATTTATAACAGGTATAAGTTCTGTCCATATAATAGTATCCTAGAGGAGAAAATGATTTTGCTCTAAATTTTTGCATAGATCATTGTTAGGCAGAATATCTGTATCTGAATGGAACTCTTGGTGAAAGTATGGATAAGCAGCAAACGCATTATAAGTGGTATTTTGAAGAAAAAGTATGATAAATTATGAGTTAGGAATAGACTAACCTTTTTTTCTAACTGCTGTTAGCATGAAGATGAGACAATAGTTGTAGGAATGACCAATGGAATACTGAGTGTTAAACATCGGAAATCGGAAGCGAAGAAGGATTCTTTTCCCAGAAGAAGAAGGCCTGCATATCGAACTTTTATTAAAGGGAAAAATTATATGAAGCAAAAGGTATTTTTTAAAAGTATATATTTTTTTATTGATTTTAGAGAGGAAGGGTGAGGGAGAGAGAGACAGAAACATCAATGATGAGAGAGTATCATTGATTGGCTGCCTCCTGCACGCCCCCTACTGGGGATTGAGCCTGCAACCCGAGCATGTGCCCTTGACCAGGATCGAACCCAGGACTCTTCAGTCCTCAGGCCGACGCTCTATCTACTGAGCCAAACCGGCTAGGGCAAAAGGCATATATATATGTGTGTGTTTTTTTAAGGAGAAATTTGTTAGAGTAGCCAATTCCCTGCACATTACTGGAAAGTATAGTTTACATGGCATTTAACTTTATTTTGATTTTTTCTATATCAGATTTATATCTAGATTGCTCGATTGGGGCCCTCCTAATAAGTAATGAGGAATAAGGACTTTATTTAATACTCTCATCATAACAAAGCTATAGTGCTTCATCATATTCAAAGTGATGTCTTTCCCATGCCATCTGATGTGATCTTCTAAACAACCCTGAAAAGTTGTAGAGTCAATAATGTTCCCGTTTGGCATCTGAGAGGATGGGGAAGTTGTAAATTGGTCCAGAATTTCATTCCTGGTAACAGAATTGTTGACTAGATCGTAATTTCTCTGAATCTTTTTTCTTTCTTTCTACTAAATCACATTGCTTGACATGCAAAGAGAATTGAAATCAGTAATGTTTTCCCAGAATGGAGGTATTGTGTATGCATTGTAAGTTAAAATCATAGGAGAGTAAGAGCACATTGATGTGACAAATTATTCCATTTTCATTTTATCTATATTATGGGCATGGGATCATTATTCATGAATAGTTCAGGAGTGCCCTGGTATGAAAAATACCGCTATGAAAAAGTTTATTTTGAATGAAACTCTATACAGGTGTTGATTTTTCTCTATAAATTTACTTTTCAATGCAGGATGACATTTTGATTAACAGGCCATCAAAAAAACACCTAGAATTGTATGACAGGGATCTGAAAAATTTCCGGATCTCCAAAGCACTTGACAGAGTCCTTGAGGTGAGTGAGGAGTGAGTGAGTGTGTGTGTGTGTGTGTGTGTGTGTGTGTGTGTGTGTGTGTAAAATTCTTTTTATTAAGACTTTCTTTTTTTAGAGAAGATTTAGGTTCAGAGCCAAACTGAAGGGAAGGTACAGAGATTTCCCATGTAGCCCTTGCCTCCACACTTGCACAGCTTCCTCCATTAACAACATTCCCTACCAGAATGGTGCATTTATTACAATTGAACCTACAGGGAGCATATTGTTAAAGGAATCATTTTATTGTGTAGTACCATGACTCAAAACTGTGAAGATGAAATTTATTTAAGTTTGGCAATTATTAGTAAGTTTTAAGACTGTAATTTCTCTTGTGCTATCTGCTCATGTTGACTCTGAAAATTTTTTAGCCCAGTTGTACAATCAAGACACCTGAGATTACAGTTTCCATCATAAAGGAACTCAATCGAAGAGGAGTTCTTGCAAATGCCCTTGCAGGTCGGGATGAAAAGGAAATCAGTCGTGTTCTTAATTTTTTGATAAGGTATGTTTCATGTCTGTGACACACAATGTATTTTTATTTTTTAAAAAATATATTTTATTGATTTTTTACAGAGAGGAAGGGAGAGAGACAGAGAGTTAGAAACATCGATGAGAGAGAAACATCGATCAGCCGCCTCCTGCACATCTCCCACCGGGGATGTGCCCGCAACCCAGGTACATGCCCTTGACCGGAATCGAACCTGGGACCTTTCAGTCCGCAGGCCGACGCTCTATCCACTGAGCCAAACCGGTTTCGGCTACAATGTATTTTTACATCTAAAATCCTTTATGCCCAAATGAGAGACATTTACTTTTAATGTGATCTTTGTAGAGAACTGATAGAACAACTCAAATCAATTTTAAGATTTTTTTTCAAGTTGGCAAGTTTCAGTAAACAATTTTTGCTTTGTAGGAATCTGTCTCAGCCGAGATTTGCTTCTGTTTTGATCAATGCTGCTGAAATAGTTATTGGTAAGTAATTGTTAAAACTCAAAAAATCCTAGCATGCTTGCAAAAGTGAGATGTCAAAATATGAAATAAAATTTGGAACTCAAATCAAAATATCTTGTTTTTATCAATTCTTGATTGAAGATTTTTTATGAAGAAAACAAACAACAGTAAATCAATGCATTTTAAAATGGAGTAAAATGTTTACAGTGCTTCAACTTTGAATTGCTGTTATTAGGGTTATGATAAAAAAAAAAACTTTTTTCTTTAAACATCTACAGTGACAGTGACTATTTCTTAATGGGGAAATGAAAATAAGTCAGAACGTCCATGCTCTACTTTTTGGTTGTTGGTAATCCTCACATGAGGATATTTTTCCATTGATTTTTAGAGAGAGTGGAAGGGAGGGGGAGAGACACAGAGAGAGAAACATTGATGTGAGAGACACATCAATTGGTTGCCTCCCACATAAGTCCTGATCAAGGCCGGGGATCAAGCCTGCAACTGAGGTTTGTGCTTTTGACTAGAATCTTACCCTTCAGTTTGCAGGCCGACATTCTTTCCACTGAGCCAAACCGGCTAGGGCTTCATGCTCTGCTTTTTATAACTACTTCTTTTTTGAAATATATTTACTCAGATAAATTGTTTACTTTCTGTAAATCATAAATATAAAATAAGTACAGATCTTCCAGTGTCTTTGTATATAATATTTTTATGCTTTTTCTAAATATTATTGTTCATTTATTGTTTAGAAAGATATTTCTAGTTATTGTGTTTTCTCTCTCTATTTCTAGATATATATCTGCCGGTAATTGGTCAGTCGCCTGTAGTTGATAAAAAGTTTTTGTTACTTCAAGGACTTGTAGAAAAAGAGATTGATTACCAAAAAGAACTGCTAGAAACCCTGGGGATGATGGATATGCTTTTTGCTACCATGACAAGGAAAGAAAGCACTCCTGCATCTGATGGACTTCCAGAAAACAGGATAGAGTCCTAGTGGCTGCTTAATAAGACACAGGACTGCTAACTTGGGATAGAATTGATTCTATTAACTATTGGAAAGAAAATCTGATGCGATAAAAAAACTATTTACAGAAGCAATTTTATGGAAGAGACTGGAATAACTATGATTGGAAAATAAGTATCTGGTTTGTGACATGGTTTTCCATGTAATAGTTTGAATTATTTCGTGGCATCTTTGTCTAGAAGATCTCAACTGTCTTGATTATAGTGCATGTCCACCATGGACAAGTTGATACTAGTTTTAATGCAGCAAAGTTCTGTACCAGCATTTGGATAGGCATTCAGAACTGTGGATATAGTTTCCATTGGAATCATGCCAAAGACACGGATTTATTTATTTTTTACCCATTCCTGGAAGAAAATAAAACAAATGGCTGCAACAAATAAATTACTTCTTTAATCAGTCCCCTTGGATTTTCCAGGCCCTGCCGAGCTTGCCGCCTTCTTGACATCACTTACCGCAGGTCAGATGCTCTCCTGTAGCTGGTAATAGGCCTGGAGCTGTTCCAAGTGGGCAAATCAATGGCCAGCTCTGAATAATGACACTTAGTTAGACATGCATTCAGAGGCAGTGATGAGGCAAATTCGATACCCAGAAATTGTGCTCTTCACCCAGGTTTTCTTTTTATTTTTTTAATCTTGACTGCCCTCATCAGAGCAATGTCTACAGAGAGGCCTTATTAGGACCATGTTTTTATTAATTCCCCTTAGTAAACAGCCTTTCTACCAAGTTTTCAACTTGCTTCAGGTCAGTGGAATGAGAAAATTTGCCATTTCTCTTACAATAAATAGCCTTTCAGCCTTTTATATGTTTGGAATTTATATTGTAGCTACCTAAGTCTCTGGAAACAATTTTCTCTCATCTGTATTTGGATTTTTTTCTTTTTTAATAATTCTTTATTGTTGAAAGTATTACACATGTCTCCTTTTTTACCCCAATGACCCCCTCCAGCCTACCCCTGCCCTCACCCTAGGCCTTCATCACCCAATTGTTCGTGTCCATGGGTTATTGGATTTTTTTTCTTTACACAGTCATGTTTCAGAACTCCAAGCCAGAGTAGCTTGCTTTGGAAAATAGCTGTATTTTTTTAAAGTTCAGTATAAATCACATTTTAAAATAAAGAGATTCTTATTTTTCTCCTTGGCTTTCTGAGATGTATCAATTCCTGATGGATAGTCACTGGTTGTTTTCACATTTGCTACCTCTCCCACCTTCCACCAATTCCTGTCCCACCTCAAGTAGTTAATTATCTGTAAGGAAATACGCCTTGGGCGAGAAGAACCTTTAGTTAAAGGAAGATTTTGTAATGGGAGTCTCCTCTTAAAATTTCAGTTCTGTGAATTCAGGTTTTTATTTTGTTTAAAGCAGAAGAAAGTATTTCTGTGTTTTGGTAAGGGAATATGCTCAAAAAAGGATCTAGTTTCCCTTTAAGCAGTCATACAGCACAGTGGCCTATAAGAAACAAGGAGTTTGCTTCCCTGAGTAATTATGAGATCAATCAAGGTCAGAAACTGTTTATGTTGAGAAGCGTTCATTTATATAAATAAATTTATATTTAAAAGCTTTTTTTAAAAATTGAACTTCATAAGTGTATATACTAATAAAAATGAGAAGTTGAAATCTGTCTAAAACTAGTTGCCACCAAGTGTCGAACATGTGACCAGGGTTTCCCATACATCATTTGATTCTCACTACACCCACCCAAGCTTGATGTTCTCATTGGACATTGAGTTCTCCAAGCTTGAGGTCCTCCTCGTCCCAGCACTCTGAACTGGTCTGCCTGCTGGGGCTGAATGTCCTTCCCTTGAACAGAACTCCCCTGAGAGTTGCTGTTGTTAGATGCTGTCCTGCATTTCAATTGCTCCATGTTAGTACATAAAGCTCAGCTGCATTCTTTTAATGTTGGCCTCCTATATCACTGTATAGATGTGCCATAATCAATTTAACCAGTTTCCTATCAATAGGCAATTGGATAGTTTCTATTTTATAGCCATAAGCAATTATGCACTGAGCAAGCTTTTATATACATTTTTTGGGTGCATTCTGAGGAATGTTTACTGGGATAAATCAATATGAATTCTGATCCTAGAGAGTGAGTCTTTGTTTCCACCTCAAAGTCTGGTAATATCTCATCCCTGCTGCTCATCACCTAAGGAAAGGCCATCTGCCTTTTCATGCAAGACTCCAGTGTCACTTCCCAGATGTATTCCTTGAAGACCTGCTCAGACAGGGTACTTTGTATTCCACAAGATACTTAATTATGGGGCAGGGGGTACTATTTTTCCCACTCTGCATGTGGTGACACTAGGTGACTTGTCCATAGTCATGCAGGTTAGTGGCAGGTCTGGGGTTTGAACTCAGGCAGTCCGAGTACATATTCTCAACCACTCCAGGAATAGTGTCACATATTCTAGGACCATGGAATATGTCCTTATTCATCTTCGTATTGACTTTTCACAATTCAAAATTGGTGCTTAGTAAATGTGCTGAATGAACAAATAAAATGAACAAATGCTTATTGAATTCAGCTTGGCAGTTCACATGAAAACAGTAGTTTGGTGTATGAGCTGAAATTATATTATCATTTTTTTCTGAGAGCTATAACAATATTCTGAACACATTCCTTTACTCCCAGTGAAAATTTTAATTAAATGAAACCAAAACCATGCTTTAGGGCAACTTACCTTAGCTCACCACGAGGTGGCAGTATTATTTTGAAAATCAAGATAAACCTCTTCTACAGCCCTTTATTTAAATCAAGTTGGTCTTCCTAAAGATTAAGGTGAGTTCTCCTAGAAAACAATCAAGATACTTGGTTATTGCTATGTTGATAAAGTGGGTTCAAAAACCATTTATAATTATTAGATGCTAACCAGAGACATGGGCATAAATCTCACCAAGGCCCTCTTAAAATTAAAGATTAAACTTTTCAACAACGTAGAATAATGGAAAGAACATGTGATTTATGATCCTGGGCAAGACAAAGACGCTCTGGGTCTCAGCTTTCATATCTGTCAAGTGGGCTAATATCACCTCCCTTGCAGGATTATTGTGAGAATAAATGCAATAATATATAAAAAGTGTCTTACCTGCCTTACTGTGTTTTTCACATGTCTGTGATTATGGAAAGTCTACTTGTCCTACACCAGATGGGAGATTTTTCTTAGCTTCCCTGATTATTAACATCATTTGGATCATTTAGATCAGTGGTTCTCAACCTTCTGGCCCTTTAAATACAGTTCCTCATGTTGTGACCCAACCATAAAATTATTTTCGTTGCTACTTCATAACTGTAATGTTGCTACTGTTATGAATCGTAATGTAAATATCTGATATGCAGGATGGTCTTAGGCGACCCCTGTGAAAGGGTCGTTCGACCGCCAAAGGGGTGGCGACCCACAGGTTGAGAACCGCTGATTTAGATGCGTGGAGTTAAAGTTTTCTTCTATATAAATGATGTTTTTTAAATAAATCAGATAAGCCATAACATGAGGGGTGTAACTGACTTGAGACAGACTGTTTACAAACATTTTGAAAGTAAATGGTATGATTTGCGATATACTGTACACAAATAAGACGTTAACCACTTACTCATGAAAGATGTCAATTCCCCTGGGATCATTAGTGTTGTAGTAGAAATTGCAAATAGAATTGTCTTTAAGCATATTTATTAATGCAGACTTCCCTTTATTCGAGTTAACTTTATTAACTCAGACTGTGTGATGACTTACTTTATTGACCAGAAGGTTAAAAATATAAACTGCGCTAATTTAATGAGAGTTGCTAATTCTCTATAGACATGACTATAAGAACATTGGATTCATAAGAAGTATTTTCTCAAGGTTGTTAAAAAATTGAGATATAATTGATAGAAAACATTATATTAGTAAAGTGCTCCCCATGCAAAGAAACAATGGTCCCTGCATCAGAAGCAGTTTCCTCAGAGGAAACAAGTAAAGAGCAGCGGTCAGAATTTTTTCTTTTATTATTGTTCACTTTAGAATAAAAGATTTTGAAGCTTGCCTGCCTAACCCATTCTTATCTTCCAGAGGGTAGAGATCTAGGTAGAAACAAAGAATTGAAAAAGAAGAAAATAGACAATTGCAGTAAGTTTATTGACAGTAGCATATATTAATTTCCTTATCCTATAATTTCTAAGAGAATACTAAGAGTTTATACACACGGTTTTCTAACATAAGATCATTAGTCATAAACTTAAAACACAATCTAGCAGTTTTATTTACTTGGGAGGAAATGACAAGTTATTTAGTGTAAGTCAGTACTACATTATTAATGATGGTCAACTTGTAAAGAGGATTCTGTAGAATTCTGCCTAGCAATATAAGGATGATCAAAACTGGAAAATATGGACAATAATAATGATGATGGCCAAATCCAATAATATGATTACTAAGGCACTATTCTCACCAATGTACATATATTAACTTATTTAATCTTCACAACAACTTGGGTAGGTACTTTACTATCTCCATCAAAATTACTTTTTTGCAAATACATATTTCTATATTGTGTAAAGTTAGTACAAATTAAACAATTAGAAACAAGGTGGTAACGGTGAAGTGCTGATGCATTAATTAGTTTGGTCGTAATCATCATTTCATTGTATATGTACATCAAATCATCTTGTCCACTTAAAATATATACAATTTTCACTTGTCAATTATACCTCAGTAAAGCTGGAAAGAAAAGATGGGCCACTTAAAAAATAACCAAGAGTATTTGACAAAACTTTATACAAATATATTTAACAAGCTGGGTTACATGGGTGTTTTTCTTGAAAATCTAAATGAACAAAATTGGTCCCAAAGAGGCAGAAAATTGCAACAGAACACTGACCAGGGAAGAAATTGAGAAGGTAATCCAAGAAGCCCTGGACACAAATGTTTTATTAGTGAATGCTTTGAAACTTTCAAGGAATAGAAAATTCTAATGTATTCAAACGGATCTAAACTTAGAGAAGAAAAATTTCAACGTTATTTCCTGAAGCCAGCCTAACATAAATAGCAGCTTGACACCCCTCTCTTTGGTAGTCTGTACTATTTTTCAAAGTATCTGTTGTCCCTCCAGGGTAGCAGCTTACAGTTAGTTCTTCATGCCAGGGACATGAGACTCCTCCCAGAGGTAGGATGCTATATCCCCACCCTGTGAAGTCCTGTAGTGTCTCCTAATTGGCCTTGGCCTATAAAATAAGGGCAGCATTGACAGCGTGCCACTTATAAACAGAAGTTTTAAAACCCTGTTCATGGTTCACCAGTTCTCTCTTCTCTCTTGCCATGATGACCAGCAATGTGCCCGATAAGCTGCTTTATTCAACCCATGCCAGCGGAGGATGATTTGGAGGAGGACTTGGACCTACGCTGGACATAATAGGAGTAAGAATTAAACCTTCGATACAGTATGCTGCTGAGATTCGGAGATTTCTTGTTAGCATAGCATAGCCTAGCCTACTCTGATTGGTACATTCCTGTTCCCCACAAAAGAAAATGATAAACTATATTTACTTATGAATGCCAATGTTAAAATCTTCAATTAATAAGAAAAGGATTTCAGGCATTGCAGGAATAAAATACCCCCAAATAAGACCTCTAAATAGGTATGTTCCCCACTGAAGACTTGGAGATTCTCCCATCTAAAAAAAAGGTAACATGGATTAATTTGTAAAATGTGTTAAGCATTTTTGTCCCCTTCCTCCCCCAATTTTTTTGTGTCAGTAGCAATAAAGAATTAAGGAGTTGAAACCTTTATGGCATCAAAAACACCCGTAAGTGGGAAAATGTGTCTTAGAGGTGAGCTATGGATGAAGAGTATATGAAATGAAAGTTCCCAGGGTGCAATGCTCTTTATGAAGGCATAGGAGATGGTTATTATTCCCTTTCTGCAAGTGGAGAATTGAAGTAGTTAGCCGGGAAACTCTGATTTGGACTCAGATCACCAAGCTCCTGATTCAGTTTGACTTGCTGATGTTTTGTTTCGTTAAAAATAAATCTCCCATTGTGTAAGTCAGTAAATTTCTTGTGAAGATTCTCTAATGTTAGCCATGGGTTTTTTCTTTTTCCTTTAAGTAATAATGGGCCCGATGACATCTAAGCCATTAAAAGATGACCATATCAAGCTC